ATTATTTGGAAGGCCGTCATTCAAGAATGAAAAAACATGTAAATGCACCACATCCTAATATTTACGTTTTCATTGATCTACTGCAGAAAGAACAATCGTTAGCATCATTAGCAAGATTACGGGATAATATGGGTGCCCGGGCTCCAAAACGTCGAAAAAATAAGATAATAACAGATGAATGTTTAGTAAAATTATGGCAACGCTACGACGATGGACGGATGGATATTTCAAATTTCTTAAAGGCTGCTGGTATGAGATACTTCCAGTGCCCTTCCAAAAGTTGATCTTTTTTCCTATTTTCTGTTTTTCTTTCATATCCATTAATTAATAAATTAAGTGAATACTTTTTCCAAATCAGTGGAAAGTATATACTGCTTAGTTAGTATATATATGTTATCAAATTATTGAAAAGTAAATCTCTATATATCAGATTGTTTAATTAATATAGATATTTTATCTAATCATCGGAAAGTAAATCCTGTACACGCCTTGCGCCATCTGAAAGAGGACATCTAAACGCGCTCAGAAATGATCTATCTTTTTTATACAGTTCTCTCTGTACTGCGTATAGCTATATTTTGAGACGATACCAGGTCCTATTAATCAATACCCCGTGAAAATCGAGCTCGTGCGATAAAGCTCATAATTAAGCGGTATTTTATTATGTCAAAAGACATTAGGGAACTAATCTGAAAATATATAACAATTTCACTCAAATCAGTTGAAGCTTTTGATAGGTGAAAAAATAGAAACCGATGTCTCATGTCACTTTACAGTACTGACTAAAGATAATGGTTGATTTTGAGCAGAAACGGACCCGGGTCGGGTTCGATTCAGTGTTTCGGTCTCATAGTCGTTAACGTTTCTGCTGTTGCATCTACGTTGACAGAGTTAAAAAAGAGATCTACACTACGAAACGAATATTCAGATTTATCTGATTTCATCTAGTTTGCCAGCACAGCAATGGATGAAGTTCTAACTAATATTCTTGGTGAACGATATACATTACGACGTAAACAAGCATGGGCATATTTATTTGAACAAATTATTGTCATTCTTGAAGTAATTTAACCCTTTAAGTCCCCAAGACTTCAACGCTTGGTTTTGGGTCAACCACTTATGAAAATGAAACATATGACACCTCGATATGACTTTCTCACTCTTGAAAATCTCGTCCATGTTTACCACGTCACGAGGTAAGAAGGCACCCATAGCACCACGTTTTGGAGCCCATGTACTAGCACGCCTGATATATGTATGAAATGAATTGACAAGTAGATGAGCCTCATTGAGTGGCACCTTCTGTTGTCTTTTTGGTTTTTGCAGGGAGAGACGATGGCGGCGCATGAATCGACCATACCACTTCGTCGATGGTGGATGCTCATGCTTGAGTTCGATACAAAGTTGTTTGCCACGTCGTTGTAATTGTTTGAATGTTACTTTTTCTCGTTTAACGACGATCGATGTTGTCATTGTAGATACATTTGACTGAATGACAGGACCAGTACGACGTTCCCGGAACCATTCGAGAAGCAACTTATCGAGTTCGGGGTACTGTAGCTTGTGTCCAGCACCGGGAAGATGTTTTCGTTTGCGTCCTATAATCAGTCAAAGTAAGAAAGAATCAGAGATGTAAGCGAGATCGATGTCATCATGGGTAGAAGAACAAAACTCACCATGGTTTCGCTTTGACAGTTGAATAAGATCTTCTTTTTGTTTCACCCATTGAGATAATTGATATCTTGAGCAACCTTCCTTTTTTGACGTCTTTATTACCACCAGCTTTTCCCAGCATATCAACGGCATGTAGCTTCTCTGCAGTTGACCATTGTCGGCGTTAAACGAGAAAAAGTAACATTCAAAC